TTTTAAATTGGTTTTTGTGTATGGTGTAAGGGTTGGGTCCTGGTTCATCCATCTGCATGTGGATATCCAATTTTCCCAGCACCATTTATTGAAGAGATTCTTCCTTCTCCAATGGACAAATTTAGCACCCTTGTTGAAAATCAGTTGACCTGGGTTGTTGGGTGCTGTTGAGTAGGTTCCAACTGATAGCGACCCCAGTGTACAACAGAATGAAACACTGCCCATCCTGTGCCATCCTCACATTGTTGCTGTGTTTGAGCCCATTGTTTTTGTCAGTCCATCTTGTTGAGGGTCTTCTTGCTTTTCACTGACCCTCTACCAAGCATGGTGTCCTTCTCCAGAGACTGGTCTCTTCTGATAACATGTCCAAAGTACATCAGACGAAGTCTCGCCATCCTCACTTCTAAGGAGCATTATGACTGTACTACTTTCAAAACAGATTTGTTCATTCTTGCAATGCCATCGAGTAGATGACGACTCATAGCAACCCTGTCGTCCATGGCGTATCCAGCATTCTTCACCAACACCACAATTCAAATGCATCAATTCTTCTTCAGTCTTCCTTTTTCATTGTTCAGCTTTCGCGTGCATATGAGGCAATTGAAAAACACCGTGGCTTGGGTCAGGCACACCTTAGTCCTTAAGGGGACATCTTCTCATTTTAACACTTTGAAAGAGGTCTTCTGTAGCAGATTTGTGCAGCGCAGTATGTCCTTTGATTTCTTGACGGCTGCTTCCATGGGCGTTGATTGTGGATCCAAGTAATATGAAGTCCTTGACGTCTTCAATCTCTTCTCCATTTATCATGATGTTGCTTATTGGTCCAGTTGTGAGGATTTTTCTTTTCTTTATATTGAGGTATAATCCATACTGAAGGCTGTAGTCTTTGATCTCCATCAGTAAGTGCTTTAAGTCCTCTTCACTTTCAGCAAGCAAGGTTTTGTCATCTGCATATTGTTGATGAGCCTTCCTCCAATCCTGATGCCATGTTCTTCATATAGTCCAGCGTCTCAGATTATTTGCCCAGCATACAGATTGAATAAGTATGGTGAAAGGATACAACCTTGACACATACCTTTCCTGATTTTAAACCCCGCAGTATCCCCTTGTTCTGTTTGAACGACTGCCTCTTGGTCTATGTACAGGTTCCGCATGAACACAATTAAGTATTCTGGAATTCCCAATCTTCACAATGTTATCCATAATTTGTTATGATCCACGCAGTCGAATTCATTTTCATAGTCAAGCGCAGATAAACATCTTTCTGATGTTCTCTGCTTTCAGCCAAGATCATATATGTATGTTGACCGTATACATATGGATTTATTTCTAGGCTTTCAATTCTGTTCCGTTGCTGTATATATCTATTATTATACCAGTAACAGGCTGTTTTAATTACTGTAGCCTTGTAGTATGTTTTGAAATTGGGAGGTGTGAATCCTCCTATTTTATCCTTCTTCTTTAGGATTGCTTTAGCTATTCAGGGACCTTTGCCCTTCCATATAAATATGAGGATTGGCTTTTCCATTTCTGTCAAGAAGGCTGTTAGAATTATGATGGGTATTGCATTGAATTTCTAGGTTGTTTTGGGTAATATTGATGTCTTAACTCTATTTAAGCCTTCCAATTCATGAACACGGAATGTCCTTCCATTTATTTAGGCCTTTGATTTTTTTTGGCAATGTTTTATAGCTTTCTTTAAACAGGTCTTTTACCTTCCTGGTTAAATTTGTTCATAGGTATTTTATTCTTTTAGCTGGTATCGTAAATGGTAGTATTTCCTTTTCCTCTAGGGAACCCTTTCTTTCTTAATTGTTGTGGTTGAAAAGTATGGGATAACTAATTTTACAAAGACATTATTTGGTACATACATGTATGTATGTGCTAGAGGCATACAATTGAAATAGGGGCTCTTGATCAAAAATAATTCTAAGAGTGAGAGGAATAACTTCCCTGGCTTGTTCTTAAATAAAAAGAAAAGGAAAACCATGTAAAAGTAATATTTGTTGGAAAAAACTCCATATAAAACAACAAAAAATTTTTTTTTCAAATCTTTTTTCGCAGATAATATTGTGATTCTTTAACATAAATAGTGATGCATGGGCCCTTATACATAGCATAATTAGTACACAAACCGTAACTAACAATGCACAAACACCAGAAGAGAAACCAGACAACTGGAAGCTCCTTAAAATTAAACACTTATACTCATCAAAAGATATCACCAAAAGAGTAAAAAGAGACCCTACAAACTGGAGAAAAATTTTTGGCTACAACATATCCAACAAAAGTCTAAAATCTACAAAATACTTCAACACAAATAATCAAGACAAATAATTCAGTTAAAAAATGGGCAAAGGAAATGAACAGACACTTCACCAAAGAAGACATTCAGGCAGCTTAACAGACACATGAGGAAATGCTAGCGATCATTAGCCATTAGAGGAATGCAAATCAAAACTTCAGTGAGATACCTTCTCACCCTGACAATACTGGCACTAATCAAAAGAACAGAAAACAGCAAATGTTGGATAGGTTGCAGGGAGATTGGAACTCTTATGCACTGCTGGTCGGAAAGTAAAATGCCATGACCACTATGGAAAACAATATGGCGCCTCCTTAAAAAGCTAGAAATAGAAATACCATATGATCCAGCAGTCCCACTCCTAGGAATGTATCTTAGAGAAGTAAGAGCTGTCATACAAATAGATATATGCACACCCATGTTCATTGCAGCACTATTCACAATAGCAAAAAGATGGAAACAACCTAAGTGACCATCAGCAGATAAATGGATAAACAAATTATGGTACATACACACAGTGGGATACTACGCAATGATAAAGAACAATGATGAATCCACGAAACATCTCACAACATGGATGAATCTGGAAGGCATTATGCTGACTGAAATAAGTCAGTCACAAAAGGACAAATATTGTATGAGACCACTATTATGAGAACTCAAGAAAGAATTTACACACAGGAAAAAACATTCTTTGATGGCTACGAGGGTGGGGAGGGACGGAGAGGGGAAAAAACTAGATTAGTAGACAAGTGTCAACCTTGGTGAAAGGAAGGAACACACAGTATAGGAGAAGTCAGCACAGTTGACCAAGGCAAAGGCATGGAAGTTTCCTGAACATATCCAAACACCTTGAAGGACCAAGTTGCTGAGGCTGAGGGCTGGGGACCATGGTCTCGGGGCATCTAGCTCAGTTGGCATAACATAGTTCATAAAGAAAATGTTCTACATCCTACTTTGGTGAGTAGCGTCTGGGATCTCAAAAGCTTGTGAGCTACCATCTAAGATAAATCTATTGGTCCCATCCCATCCGGAGGAAAGGAGAATGAAGAAAACCAAAGACACAAGGAAATTATTAACCCAGAGGACTAAAGGACCACATGAACCAGAGCCTCCACCAGCCTGTGCCCAGAAGAACTAGATGGTGCCCGGCTAGAACCACCGACTGCTCTGACGGGGAACACGACAGAGAGTCCCGGACAGAACAGGAGAAAAATGTAGAACAAAATTAAAATTCACAAAAAGAGACTAGACTTACTGGTCTGACAGAGACTGGAGGAACCCCTAAGAGTATGGCCACTGGACACTCTGCTAACTCAGAACTGAAACCATTCCTGAAGCCCACTTTTCAGACAAAGATTATACAGGCCTATGAAACAAACAATAACACACGTGAGAACATGCTTCTTGATTCAACCAAATATATGAGACCAAGTGGGCGACTCCTGCCCAAAAACAACTACAAGAAGGCAGGAAGGGACAGGAACTGGATGAATGGACACGGAACCAGGGGTGAAAAGGGGGAGAGTGTTGTCACACTGTGCGGATTGCAACCACTGTCACAAAACAATGTGTATAAATGTTTGAATGAGAAACTAACTTGATTTGTAAACTTCCCCTATAGTACAATAAAATAAAATAGATTTTTTTTCTTCTGCACAGAAAAAAAATACTGAAACACGTGTGCATGAATGATACACATATAGACATATTTTAAACAAAATGAGGTTTTTTACATGTTCTGGATTTTTTGTTGTATTTTGCTTTTTACTCAGTAGTTCTTGTATAGAAATATACTGTGTAATGGCAAACGCAGGCTGTTGGTAAAATATACTTTGGCATGGGTAGAGGATTTTTATATTCTCTGTCTGATCCTGCTACTAATCGTTATATGGAGCATTCTTCTAGTTACGTGCTGGTGAGGCTTGCGATAAGCCAACTTAATAACGGTTACCCATATTGAAAGACTCATTAAAGGCCTTTTTATTGTAATGTAAATGAATGATCTGGTAATTTTTTGTTAAGTTTAAGAACACATGCATATAGGAAGATAACACTTTAATTGTTGCATTCTAGACCTTATCCATCCGTAAAATACTTAAGGATTGGCTAATAGACACTTTATAGGGGCATCAGAAGACCTTGGTTCTTTTTAGTGTCTTTTGTGTCACTGAAGCATTAGGTAACTGCGGGTAAATTTTTTTTTCCAAAATTAATAATGTTTTTAATGTTTATAAGTCTACATGTATATCCACTTACTAAGAGGTAGTTTTTAAGTCTTACAGTTTAGAACTTAGTGTTACTCGAATGTTACAACAAAGGGTGGCCAGATCACTTAGACGAACCTGAATTGGATATTTACAGCATGTGTGTAGCTTCATCTCCACGTGGAGTTTTCCTCAAAATCTTCTTTCTAATACTCCTACTTGATTCTATCTTTTGTACACAAGTTTGGTCTAGTCTTTTAACTGGACCTTAATTTCCTCATTTGTAAAATGAGATAGTTGGACTGAAGATGGTTGGGTTAATTATCTATGACTTGAAGATTTTTTTAATTTTTTGTTTTTGAGGGAGGGCACCATTATGAATCTATCAATGTTTTAAAAACAAGTAACATTTATAGATAAGTTATAGAGTTAAGTTTCAAAATTAATGTTTTAAAATTTTGAATCAATTCTATTTTGTCTCCCCAAAGCTCCTAAAAGACGACGACCTGCACGTTCAATATTTGATGGTTTCCGGGATTTTCAAACTGAAACTAGTAGGTATCTGTGAACCACTGTATTACTGCCTTTATCATTCACCTCTTCTAGGTAATTCAGGTGTAGCATAATCATATTAAGTATGGTATTGCCTTCCTAAGGAAGCTCTTTTATAATTAAAGAGCAAATTGCAGGTTCTAAGGTTAGACCTTTTTATTTTCTATTTGAAGACTTTAAAGTGAGCTTAGATGTAATATTAAACTTAAGCTAGAACTTCTCTCTGTCACTCTCTCTCTCTAAGAACAAATAAAGCTACAGGGAGTGTAGGGAAGCACCCGTACACTCCACGATAGGTCAGGATACTGCTTTGATGTATACGCTTTTTAAATATTAGACCTGATTACTTAGAAGATTTCACCTTATTTAAAACATTAAAGTATGAAGAATTCAATCTGCTTATGATTGTTATTAACTCCCCCTTGAGCTAAGTTGTTCCAAATACTACCTTACTTGTTTATAGCAAAATAATAAGGGCGATGGAGATGATATACCAAACCTGGTAATTTACAAACTTAGATAATCAGCTTCTGAATGAGACTTGGAAATGCTGACTGAATAAAATAAAAAAACTGATTTCCCTCAGGATCCTGACACGTATCGATGGAAGAAATGATGACAATTAAAAGGTTGTTGTAGGGGATTGAAAAATAGATGAAGAAAACAACGTACCACCCAAAGCAGCCACTATCAACATTTTGGCTAAATGTTATTCCAGGTTGTTTGGAATAGGTTTATATCTTTCTGTGGAATTATTTAGAATGAGAATCTTGGCCTTATACTTTTTGAGGACACAGTAGTGATTTAGCAATGGAATTCTAAGAAGGAACAGTTGTTTTTAGAGAATATATGAGAAACTCTTGGACCATGCTTGATTTTGTAGTTGATGTCTAATGAACTCATTGAGGCACAGAGAGGTCTTGTAACTTTGGGGAGAATTAAATGGGAACCCAAAATGACTCAGGTCACCCAGGAAATCCTGTTCCCTTCCGGGAGAGGATGATGGAGTGATCATCATCTCCCACTGCCAGAATCTTTAAAAATTTAGAGTATAACTAGAAACAGCAAAAAAGGAATTAGGATCACTTTCAGAAATAGATAAGAGGAAATGAAAGCCTTCTCCTGTGCTAATATTAGTTTTGAATATTTGAAAGAAATGATTTTGATTGGTTGACACCATTTTTAATTAATTTAAATTTCTGTGTTTATTCTTGTCTTTGGGTGTGGAACACCAGGTTGTAAGACTCCCTCCTACCCCCACATTTTTTTTTTGTACTTTAGATGAAGGTTTACAGAACAAACTAGCTTTTCATTAAACAGTTAGTACACATACTGTTTTATGACTTTCTGTTGTGATCCGTGTCAGAGCAGTCAGTGGTGGTAGCCAGGCACCATCTAGTTGTACTGGACTCAGTTTGGTGGAGGCTGTGGTAGTTGTGGTCCGTTAGTCCTTTGGACTAATCTTTTCCTTTATCTTTAGTTTTCTTCCTTCTCCCTTGCTCCTGAAGGGGTGAGACCAGTGGAGTATCTTAGATGGTTGCTCACAGGCTTTTAAGACCCCAGACACTACTCACCAAAGTAGAATGTAGAACATTTTCTTTTTTTTTTTAACTGTACTTTAGATGAAAGTTTACAGAACAAACTAGTTTCTCATTATACAGTTAGTACACATATTGTTTTATGATATTGCTTAACAACCCCACGACATGTCAACACTCTCC